TATGTATATTATATCACAATAAAAAATTTTTAAAAGAAGCATTAAAAAGAAAATGTACATATAGAAATCCACGGGAAGTTATCTTTTAAAACAGTTCCTTTGGTTAGAATGATAAAAACTAACCTATTATTTCTTTCACAAAAACAAGCTTAAAAGTGAGTATTAAATATGATTCCTCTAGTTAAAGTAAACTATGCCTACCAACTCTTTTCAAGTTTACTGGTAATGTTTAGAGCTCTCCCAAAGTACAGTTTTTGCTTATAACAGTTTAACTGAGTTCTACATAAGACAGGAAAAGCACGGAGAGACAAATACATCGGAGAGTTCATGTCCAAAAAGGTTCTGCATTTGGGTGGCCCAAATACATGTCATTTTGTCATCTAAATTAATCTGCACACTGAACTCGGCACAAATACTCAAAACATGCTAATAGAAGCCTTAAAGTGACTATGGTCTGGAGTTAAATAAGGTCACACAAAAACTGCCAAAACAAACAGCAAATTTCATGTTATTTAGGGAAAGGAGAAACCCCTCTGTACAAGTTATTATGGGTAAACTGCAGTCTGGGACTAGAGATTTGTCAAAAATAGTCATTATAATGTTAATAGTTACGCCGATAATTGATAAAATTAGAAAATCCCTGGACATAACTCCAGAAATGGCAGAGATCTAGTAATCTATCTAAAGTTGGCAGGACATTTTTATTAAGAAACAACATTAATAGAACCTTCAATTTCATTAATAGAAAGAAAAAAATAAGCTCAAATGGCACATGCCCAGAATAGGAAAGAATGTATACGCTTTAAGGAAGTTCTATCTACAATCTGGGGAACAAGTTCTGAGTTAAAGACTAAATGAATTTAGGGGGGCAACTTCAATCTCAGGCAGAGAGTAAATAACAGTGATAGTAGTAGTTATTATCAGTAGCAGTTAGCAGACGTAGCAAACTCTTATACAGTCCTTCCTATTTGCCAGACACTAGTTCTNAATTGATAAAATTAGAAAATCCCTGGACATAACTCCAGAAATGGCAGAGATCTAGTAATCTATCTAAAGTTGGCAGGACATTTTTATTAAGAAACAACATTAATAGAACCTTCAATTTCATTAATAGAAAGAAAAAAATAAGCTCAAATGGCACATGCCCAGAATAGGAAAGAATGTATACGCTTTAAGGAAGTTCTATCTACAATCTGGGGAACAAGTTCTGAGCTAAAGACTAAATGAATTTAGGGGGGCAACTTCAATCTCAGGCAGAGAGTAAATAACAGTGATAGTAGTAGTTATTATCAGCAGCAGTTAGCAGACGTAGCAAACTCTTATACAGTCCTTCCTATTTGCCAGACACTAGTTCTAAGCACTTTAATTATATTAACTTGTTTAATCCTTACAACATTGTGAGGCAGGCAAACGAATGTCTCCATTTAACAGAGATGAGGAAACAGGCTCAAGGAGATTAGGTAACTTTCCCGTTGTAATCCAGCTGGTAGGTGGCAGAGCCACCTTAGAGTGTCCTGCTCCAAGTCCAGAGTTCTTGCTCTTAATTATATTATATTGCCTGTCTTTGGAAAATACCATTGTTTTCCTGGGAACTAAGAAGGTTAAAGGAATTATTCTAATTGCAGATTATGCTAGAGAGTAATATCAGAAAGAACTTCTGAGAAATGAGGAAAAGCTTTCAAGATTTATTAAAAGCCAACCATGTACCAGGCGTTTTGCATTTTAGCACAGTAGGCAATTGACTACAACAAAGTAAATAGACTTACAGACCCTGAAATTTGCCATAAACTTGTATTTTTAATGAAGTTTATTAAATCATCTCTTTGAGTTTAAAAGGCAAAGACATATCATAGCAATCAAATGCAAAAAAAAAAAACCCAAACATTATTTGATTTCATCTTCACAAAAATTCAATTCAGTTCTTTCAGAAAAACACTGAATAAGCATTTATGTACTAGACACAATGCTAGACACATGACATATAAAAGATGAATTTATTAAAAATTAAAAATAATGATAATGGTCCCTGCTCTCAAAAATCTATAGTCTTCAATACCCTTTGCAATTATCCCATTTTATAAAAGAAGACACTGCTCAGAGGGGTTAAGTGATCTGTTTACAGTCCAAGCTAGTAAATAGCTGAGATAGGATTTGAATTCAAACCCATCTAACTCAAAAACTATACATTTTTACTCTACAGCAAACTAATAGTGTTTCTGAGCATAGGAATTGGAAAAAATTTTCAACTGACTTCAGATAACAAATACAAGGCACCTGGATTCCCTTTAACATTTCCAATGTTAGTTGAGAACTTAAAAAAAGAAAGTGTAAATTCTAGACTAAATCTTAGGTTAAAGACCTCACACAGATTGAACACAACAAAGTACAGTGCTGTAGAATAGTTGAATATGTTTAAATACATGGGGTCTTCAAAAAGCTCATGGAAGGATTCGTATTATCGTCTATACTTCCACAAACATTTTGAAGTACCCTCACATGTACTGCAGTGGACTGCAGTGGCCCCACTGGAAATATGAAAGAAGATGTCACTTCCAGGAGTCACTGGAGTTGAAATCCCTCTCCCTTACATCTTGTAAGTAGTTGTAGCAGAAAGTTACCAGTTAGGTCTCAATAGGAACTGGCAGAAAGTCCTCTGAGGGTTGCCCTCAGTACCTTTTCTTTCATGAACCCATAAATTAAGTGTATTCTATAGAAGGAAAAAAACGTATCGATATAACTTTCTGCTGTTTGCCTAAAAGGGACAAGATATTCAAAACACTGCTTTATAAAGCGAAGCTCCTATTCATACTGAGATGTATTAAACTCATCTAGCTATATACTATTTCATTCAACTTTGGAACTAAAAGTAGCATTTATGAGATGGCTAAGACTTGAGGGTATAGCATGGATCAACTTGGCCACCTCAAAACCATTAGCCTGGATTTGTTAAACTATGCTTTGCCCAAACTGAATTAACCAGGCATAAATGATTTTGAAAGAAATATTAAGGTAATGGCTGAGGTCTTGAGAAATAAATTTAAAACTGTGTTTTCAATGTTTAAATATACCTAAAACTTTATGACCATCATATTCCAAAAACATTTATTAAGAATTCAAAATGTGGGACAGAAGGTCAAGGGTTCAGATCCCTTACCAGCCAGTCACCAAAAAAAAGAATTCAAAATATAGTCTTACCAAATAAAAGGGAACAAAAAATTATCAAATACAAAACGTTTTAAAAATACAAAAATGTGTAAAGTACATATACTCAGATGTTCATATACAATGATGTATAAAAATATTTGGTTAATACATACTGAATAATGGATTCACAGAGTCAGCTGAAGAACACTTAAAGTTGAGTTAAAGTTAGTTCTCTGCCAAACTTTTCCCAACTACATTTTATAGGCTGTATTCATAAAAGAATATCTGCTAACTTACAAGTATTTTTTTTTTTTTTTTGTCTTTTTCGTGACCAGTAAGGGGATCGCAACCCTTGGTGTGGTGTCGCCCACACCGAGCTCAGCCAGTGAGCGCACCGGCCATTCCTATATAGGATCCGAACCCACGGTGGGAGCATCGCACCATCCATTCCTATATAGGATCCGAACCCACGGTGGGAGCATCGCACCATCCATTCCTATATAGGATCCGAACCCACGGTGGGAGCATCGCACCATCCATTCCTATATAGGATCCGAACCCACGGTGGGAGCATCGCACCATCCATTCCTATATAGGATCCGAACCCACGGTGGGAGCATCGCACCATCCATTCCTATATAGGATCCGAACCCACGGTGGGAGCATCGCACCATCCATTCCTATATAGGATCCGAACCCACGGCGGGAGCATCGCTGCGCTCCCAGCACCGCACTCTCCAGAGTGCGCCACGGGTCGGCCCTAACTTACAGGTATTTTAACATGTAAAAATAAGGTTTATACGTAATTCTCAGAATAATTTAACTCTTCAAAATTACCAACTTAGGGCCGACCCTGTGGCGCACTCGGGAGAGTGCGGCGCTGGGAGCACAGCGATGCTCCCACCGCAGGTTCGGATCCTATATAGGAATGGCCGGTGCGCTCACTGGCTGAGCTCGGTGCGAGCGACACCACACCAGCGGTTGCGGTCCCCTTACCAGTCACGAAAAAGACAAAAAAAAAAAAAAAAATTACCAACTTACATGCAAAACTTTCTTTTGACCTCTAAAATTTGCTTACTATTTCATCTACCTAGTTGTGCAACAGATCTCCAGAACTTTTCATCATCTTGTAAAACTGAAACTGTTATTTCACCTTAAGTGAGCTCTAAAACATTTTAAAACAATATGAATCGGCATACTAGAAAGCAAAATATATTCAATTCAGAGTCAATAAGGATATAATTTGGACAGAGGCTAGGTAATAGTCTATCTCTTTTAAGCAATGGTTGTCTTCATAGGGTATATAAAGTAATATTGTAAATAGGCTTTTTTTTACTAGGAGAATAATTTCCCTTAAGCCAGAGGGAAACATCTTTTTCATGTTTACATCTACAATATTTAGCTATGCAAAGCACTCATATGCTAGTAATTCAGATTTCAAAATTCCCAGTTGACTGTGCTCACATAATAATCATCTCACATAAATGATACGTAAAAATAAGCTTTCTACTTACCATATAGTTACCATAAGCATGATCAAACATTTCCAGTACTTGATTCCTAATTTTAAAAGAATAGAAATGGAAAAGTTAAATATACTGTACTTATTTATTTATCTTTTGAAGACTTTATGCTCCCTCATAAAAATACACTAATAAGAAAAAGAAAAATTTAGTTAGAAGAGGACATAAAGAGAGTCAGGAAATGCACCAATTAGTAGACAAACTTTCATGAACTCACTATGCAGAGCTGGGCCAAGCTTTTAATATTTTCAGTAATTTATGTAAAATTCATCTTATTTTTTTCTAAGAAAACTGACAAATGATGCATGCCATAAATAGAAAGAAGGAAATCTGATGCTGAAAACCAATCATCTCTTAACACAATTATTTACCATATCTGTCTTGAAAGGGAGGATATTGCTGGAGAGCCCCCAAAAGAAACAATTATCCATACCATTTATTGCTTACCCTGTATGTTCTACTAAAAGAAAGTGGTTGAGTGGGGAGGGGGGGTGGGTGTGTGTAGTGATACAAAATAACACTTCTTCAAGCTACTGCCTTTTCCCTTAAAACCACTAAGGCCTGGTTTAAGTACATATTTATTAATATGTTTATCTGGGTGTGTGTAGTGATACAAAATAACACTTCTTCAAGCTGCTGCCTTTTCCCTTAAAACCACTAAGGCCTGGTTTAAGTACATATTTATTAATATGTTTATCACATTTTCAAAAGACACATCATGTGACGTACTTTGCTCCTCTAAAAAACTGTTAAAAGTCAAGAAGAGTATTCACCTCTAAATGAGAACACAAATGCTCAAAAAGAGATTTGTGCATTTTGGCTAACTCTGTTTCTCAAAATCTCCAAGATGGCTGTCTAAACAGAGATTTCTGATCTCTACACCAGATTTACTAAATCAAAACTTTTAAGGTTGGGAATAAGGAATCAGTCTTTCAATTAAACACTCTCAAGTTCAGGGGCTTGAGAGTATAGGAGAAACTACAAAAGTTAATGCTATGTCTAGATGAGGCCAAATCTCTCAATAATTAGCAAAGAAAAAAATAGCTTAACAATCTTTTCTTAACTCTTCTTTTCCCAAAGTTCCAATTACTAATGACAAGAACTGAAAGAAGTGTTAATGAAAATGGATGGCTATATTTTTATTTTGCCTCCTGTTATGCAGCAATTGTCATTTTAAAAATTGTAATCATGGATGATGAAATACAGGTGATAATAAAGCTAGCAATTTCCAGATCATGGCTATGATGGTCAGCAGTATCAAGTCACTTGTATTTGTGAACTGAATAAATTAAGTCCTGACAACTTTTTATGAATATTAACCACTTAAAAACATCCAATCATTTAAAACAAGATCTTACCACCACTTTGCTAAAACATTAATCCTTTATAAGGTTATATACATATGGATCAAGTCATCTCAGTAAATTGTGAAGTATCTTAAAGAATCTCTCTAGACATTTCTTTATTATACTGCAGATGATAAAGACCTCTCAAATTAGCTACATAGGCTGAAAAAAAAAGAGGTTCAGATGTCCCTTTCAAGCACTGATATCAATAAATAGAATATGGAAGCTCCTCCTTTTCCTTTCCTGAAATGGAATTAATTTAAGGTTATTACCAAGAAGTAGAAATTCCTGTAACTGGTAGTACCTAGATGTGTGTATTACAGATGACATAAGCTTTAATTTGCTAAACCAACTTTGCAAGTATTCAGTTTTCAAAATTATGAGTAAATTATGATGGCATACAAGGACACACTATTTTCCAATACTTATATTTATGTAGCATAAGGTCGGCAAATTTCACAACATACTTCAAAGTGGCGATATCTAATATCCAGTTGCTCTCTCTGACTTACACATAAAAGTCCTAGCAAAGTCTTATTTAAATAAAGAACAGTACAATAATTACTATATTGAACAGAAAAAATGTTTCTCGAAGATTTTGTATCTATTCAACAACTGGATAAAAATATATTGGAAATCAGATCCACAGTTCCAAAATTATGTCTTTCTTCATTTTAATTTTAATTAATTTCTACTTCATTTTTTTATCAGCACCGCACTCTCCCGAGTACTTCATTTTTTTAAATGAAAAGATAATATTAACAAAATCTCTTGCTGTAACATTTAAAACACAAAAACAAAAACCAAAGTATTCCATGAAGGATAAGACTACACATGACCATGTAAATAATTCCACAAACTATACATTGCAAGCTATTGAGCAACAAGGCTTACTATTCCTGACAATTCTAATCCTTATCATCTGTTTGATTTGGGGGGGGAGAGAAAAGGGGGTAGGACATTTTCTGCTTTTTATCATAAATCATTATGTGGGCTTTTAAAAAAAATCATACAGGTAAACCTAATGAATCAGAGTTCAGTTTTCTGAAAATTCTCCGAGGGGAAAGCAGTCATGTAATTGTGTACTTATGGTTTATAGTTCTAGACTCTTACTCTGCCCTTACTCTAGAGTAGGGCAATCTAAATTAACAAGCCTAAATAACTGTAATTTCACTTTCATAAATGATCTCAAAATTTCAGCTGAAATCTCAAGCTAATTTGGTTGGACTTTTCCAGTTAAAAATTAATTTCGGTCAAAAATGAGTTATCCAAGACTCTTTTCCAAATAAACATTTTTAACAAAAAAATGAAGAAAAGGGGGATGGTGGTTAAATGAGATACTTGTGGTCCTTATAAGACTTTGTATTTCTCTTCCAAGTCTTGAAAGTGTAACACAGCGGAGAGAGCCTGCGCTCTGGGTTCAGACAGATCTGGGTTTGAATACTGGCTCCACCAATTAGCTAGCTCTACCACTTTGAACAATTCAACCTTGAGTCTCATCTTCCTCATGTGAAAAAGGGGCATCACATCCACCTCATTAAGAAATAGAGATGTTTACAGAGATAACATACGTAAAGTGCCTGTAGAGTGGGGTATTCAGTAAAACAGTTATCAATGATACATTAAATTCCTAAAGGGAGAAAATTTAAGATACTTGTTAGAGTTTACTCATAACTTTCTTTTGATAATTGATACTTCATCTTTTTTCCATCAAGCGACCTTTATTGCTATTTTATTTAAAAACTAATACAGGACATTTGCAATGATTTAAATAAAAAAAAATACAGCTGCTCCTCAACTGACAATATAGGGTTATGTCCCAATAAACCTATCCTAAACCTTTATTGCTATTTTATTTAAAAACGAATACAGGACATTTGCAATGATTTAAATAAAAAAAATACAGCTGCTCCTCAACTGACAATATAGGGTTATGTCCCAATAAACCTATCCTAAGTTGAAAATATCATAAGTTGAAAATGCAGTTAATACACCCAACCTACTGAACATCGTAGCTTAGCCTAGCCTACCTTAAACGTGGTCAGAACACTTACATTAGCCTACAGTTGGGCAAAATCATCTAACATAAAGTCTATTTTATAAAAAGAGTATTGAATATCTCAATAATTTATTGAATACTGTACTAAAAGTGAAAAGCAGAATGGTTGTATGGGTACTCAAAGCACAATTTCTACTGAATGCGTATCACTTATCATTTTAAGGTGAACCACTGTAAGTTGGGGACCGTCTGCAAGTAAAAACTGATTGTTTCACCTCCTCTCTACCCTCTCCCCATGAAATAATCATCCTTCCACTTTTTGGGGGCTTAGGCAATTTTTTTCTTTTTTAAAAAACAGGGAGGGCCAGCCCGGTGGCGCACTGGAGAGTGCGCCGCTTAGGAGCGCGGCGGCGCTCCCACCGAGGGTTTGGATCCCATGTGGAGACCGGTTCCCGCTCACTGGCTGAGCGCGGTGCGGGTGCAACACCGAGGGTTGCGATCCCGTTGCCGGTCCCCGGTACGGGCGCGACACTGAGGGTTGCGATCCCATTACCGGTCAGTAAAAAAAGACAAAAAGGAAAAAAAAAACAACAAAAAACAGGGGATGACACCATACATATTATTCGACAACTAGAATTTTTTTTTTTTTTTTTGTCTTGGAAATATATCCTGGATAGGCTTCCAATGACATATTTCCTTCTTCTTAATGTCTGAATATTATTCCATAATACAGATGCACCATATTCAATTATTTCCTTCCAAGAAACAATTCTGCTCTTTCAAAACGCACGTCATTGTACACCTATCACTACATTAACAGTGCTTTTATTTCTGTAGGGTAGATTCCCAGAGATGGGATTGATGAATCAAAGCGTGTGCACAATTTAAGTGTTAGGATATACTGTCGATAAGTTACAGCAATTTACACTCGCACCAAGTTTTCTTTTTCATACCTTTACTAGCCAGTACTGTATCCCTGTGTTTTATATTTACACATCTGACAGACAATACCCAGCTATCTCATCGTTTCAATCTGCACCTCTCATTTAAGAGGTTGAGTAACTCAATGTTTACTGACCATTTGCATTTCCTCTTCTCCGACTTAACTGTTCATGTCTTTTGCACATTTTCTACTAGTTCTTGGCTTTTTTCTTATTCATTTCTGGGACCTCCCCTATATTAGTATTATTGATCTGAATTAAATGCAGCAAATATAACTGGTAATTTTATGACACTTTCAAGACTGATAAAACTTGGTTTTACTTTGAGTAAAATATTAAGTAGACTTAATTGGGGTTTTTTAAATAATACCACCAAATATTCTGTTCTATTATGAAAATGCAATACAAGAAAACACTGCAAGGAAACAGTAAAATGTGTAAAGCGCAAGTTCGAATGAACGCCACTTTTCCGGAACAGGTGTAAACACCGTTTCCTTTACTGTGAAATCAGCCACATTCTTCCAGCTGGGTGCTCACTCGTACGAGAAATCTAACCATGTCTCCGTCGAAAGGCAACCTCAGGACTCTGGCGCACAGCGACACGGGCTATAGTCCCCGTCACGGGCCACTGGTACGACAGCCGCGTTGACAAACCGCGACTGGCCTCAAGGAACCTGTACAGGTCACCGGCGGCCCGGGCGACAGCCCGACACTCCCCCGAGGTCACGTCGCGAGCGGGGGCCCCCACCTTCCCGGACCCCGTCCGCCCCGTCAGGGTACTCGCGCGGCAACAGCTGTTCCAATCGCGACAGGAGAGGCCACTGCGCGCCAGGGTCGCAATGACAGGCACCTCACCTGCGGTCAGCCTCACTGGAAAACCCACCCCAGCCTGCCAAGCACCCTTACCCAAGCTTCTGTTTCTCCTCCCTACTCATGGGCGCGGCCCCCGCGGTCCACACGGATGTGGCTGACACCAGGCAGAGCGCGGCCGCCGCTGCCACCAGGCTCCATGACGCTCGCTGGGGGACCGGGGACCCA